AGTAGACATGCCGGGGTATTGTATATGGGATGTTTTAACATCCTTCCCCAACCATTGTGCTAAGAAAATTTCAGAGAAAGTGCATTGTGGTAATTTTTGAATTCTGCTTGTTTATTTTAGCCAGCTGGTTATATGTTACTGTCAGAGAACACCCCAGTTTGTTTTCTGCAAAGTCCCCTGAGTACACCTATGTCCCCCATGCATTTGTTTGCCACGATTTTACAGTAACATATTTTGGACTTGCCCATTTTGGCTGAATATAGTTTGCTTGCTTTGCTAGGCACATGTTGAGTGTGGTACATTTTTGCATCACCCAAGTTAAATTTATGGTTTGGAAGTATATATTTTTTATAAAGTAGATATCCAAGGTTATAGAAGATGGGGTGTTTTGACTTCTTTCCCCCAACCATTTTGACCAAAAAATTCAGAGAAAGTGTGTGGTGGTAATTTTTGTATTCTGTTTTTTATGCACACATTGCTTTTAGATTTTGGCCAGCCGGTCATATGTTACTGCCAGAAAACTTTTTAAAGAACAAATGTGCAGGTATCAAATGCACCTTTAGCAGCAATCGCTAAACTAACTCTTGCAAAAAGAATCTAACTTGAGATTGGGGGGGAAGGAAACTAACTAAGATTTGCCGCTTTCAAAAGAATCAAAATTAAAATGAGGAACAAGTATTGCAAAAAGGTATGTTCTGTGTGGTAGAGCTTAAAACACATTCCAATACACAGTCCAGGTTTTGAAGGGGAATCGGGACAGTAAAAGGGGGTGTCTCTCCTTTTCCCTTTTTTTATAACATACTTGGCAATGTTTCTGGTTATTGGCTTTTTTTTTCAGTTGGCGGTATCTTAAAAATAAAATGTGTAGCACCATCTCTGGACTCCTCTGGAAATGTTGTTGGAACTTGATCATCTTCATAAATGATTGTAGAAACTGGAAAAGGGTAGTTTTTCCTGGATTTTTTTTTTTTTTTTTTTAAAAGAGTAAAAAAGAATTGTGCGTTGCTACTTGCATCAGATAGCCACCTTTTTATACCAGGCTTTTGTCTTAAGATAAGATATGACTGCATCAGCTGATAAGCCAAATTACCTGTTATAAACCATGATGAAAACAGGTTTGGTCTGTTCTCTGTCTCGGACAGTGACGTCTGACATGCTTTTGTCGTAGATGATGGTTAGCATGTTAACATCCTTCCTGTCCTTATACTTTATTGCAAGCACTTCAGCTTGCACAGAGCTTTGCATTCACCTTTTTTTTATTTGGCCTCTATAAGAGGTCTGGAGAAATCGTATTTTTTTCTTATAGTGCCGTAGGCCAGTGTCTGCAAACCATAAAGAAATTGAAACAAACGGACACTGCTATAAAACTTGTCCACCTTTATTTAACCATAATTGAACAAGGGGATCAGTAGGTCCCAAAAAAATTTCCACTTGTCCCCAGAAAGTCAGGACAGCCAGGAAAGTCCAGTTGACCATCTTTCCCCTCATATGTGTGAAAGGCAAATGTATAGCCACTTTCACTCTTACAAAGTTTGAAGAATTTTACGCAATGTCTAGAGCACTTTGAGGGGATGTACTCTTTGAATCCTAATCTCCTTTTATATTACATTAAGGATTCATCAATTGATACATTTTATTGGGGGTATAAACTTCAGAAACGGTGTTGAAGATGGTCTACCAGTGGGTGTATTTCATGAAGCCTATCATATTGGGGGTGATCTCTGGGATGACAGAGGGTATTGTCATTAAAGCGTAAATATCGGAGCAGCAACTCATATCTTGCTCTAGACATGGTTTGGGAGTACACTGGACTAGAACAGATAGGGTTGGTGATCCAGTAAGAGCAAATTGATGGCTTCTATATAATCCCCATGAGCATAGCATAATTATTTCACTTCAGGGACATCTGTAGGATGCCAAGCATGTTCCCATACTGCATAGCTACCCAGAGCGGTATTAATAAATTGGGTAGCATAGAGATTAGTCTGGGAAGATATCTCCTCCCAAATAGTATCCCCTAAAAATAACTCCATATATTGCATAGGGGAGAAGTCATGCACATTGACATTAATGCATGCATTGGCACTAAAAGGGGGGATGTTGGGCTCAGCTAACTGTGGAGGTACCCACTCCTCCTCCACATTCGGTGTAGCAGAGGAAGCACAGCTTCTTTTGCAGCCAACTCACACACAGATGACGTGTCACTAGACGTGTCAGAAAACTGACCTGGGTCAGAATCAGACGCAGTGTCAGTGGCGTCAAAGTCTGACGCAAAGCAGGCATATGCCTCCTCCAAACTGTACATGCTCTACATATTTCACCAACACACTACCTAACTGACATTAAACTAACAAATTACTAACACACAATTTTTAACTAACCCTATGCTAAAACAGACTAAAACTTCCTTTAGCGGCAAACTCTAAACTAACACCTGCAAAAATAATCTAATGAAGATTTGGGGGAAGGAAACACACTAACTAAAATTTGCCGCTTTCAAAAACCAGACTAAAAGAGACTAATACACAGCTTTTTAAGAAAAAAATAACCCTTAAAGGCAAAAGAATACAGACAGTACAAATGCACTGCTGTAACAGGATTTGGCAAGGTTCTGGCACTTTGGCAACACTTAAAGAAACTGGCAACAAACTATCACGATCTGATCTCTGTTTCTCTCCCTCTCAAAACACTACAGAGGAGAGAGGGGCAGAGATCACTGTCAAAGTGAGTGTTTGTAACACCCACTTTGACAGCAGCCAATTGTGAACGATTGTGTGTCGCTCACACAACATAATTGGCTGTTACTATCTGCCTCGCATGCCTGGCAGATAGTAACAGCAGGATTTCGGCGGAAGTGATCTCCGATCGTTTCCGCTGATCGTTTTCCGTTATGACAATTCTGGAACGTCAGCGTTCCTCAAGGAGATGTTTCCGATGATGGTTCTGAACTCTACTGCCAGGAGAACAAGGCACTGCACCCAATGTCCCAATAAAGAAAAATCTAATTTGACTTGTGTGTTAATGAAACAGAAAAAAGGAAAATAAAAATATAACATATAAGAAATAAAAATTCAGGTCAAAAATATTGTTCGATATATTCAGAATACCAATAACACAGCAAAATAAACTATGCTATATCGTTATTGATATCTGCTCTACTCCAAACATGTTTCTAAATGAACAAGAATACCAAAATGCTAATTAACAAATAACAATCAGGTGAGTGATGAAAATGTTTCAGTGAAAATGTCATTATGAGGACACTATGAAAAGGGAACACAAACAGGATAACAAAATGTGCCGTGTACATAAAAACCACACCAAACCTTTCATTTTCACTCTAAAGCATAATTGAATTTTTCAAGGCTCATAGATATAATGAAGCCAGTAAATGCATAAGGATTGTTTGTTGAACTTGATGCAGCTGACACGGAAAAATTGCTGCCCTTCAGTGTACCATTACTGATCTATCAGCTGCATTAAACAGGAAACTTATGTGCTCAATGTGTTATGCAAGAACAATTGATCTCTCGTGTTTTCAGAGCCGAATTTTTTAACAACACTATTTATTGTCTCTTGCAGAAGGTGCTACACCTTAAATGACTTCTTTCTCCTCTCTTTATTTCGACCTTCTGCATTCTATACCATCTGTCTCTCTTTCCCTATCAATATCTTCTGCCATGTTAAATGCCAGCGTAGAACATCATGCAAACTTTTTTTTATTATCTTCTGACCTCTAGGTGATGTTGCTGCTACTTTTATGTATCGTAATTGATTCTCCTGCAGTTGTTCTGTAACTATCTGTGCTACGAATTCAATAAGAAGGGCAAGGATCATTACCTTTCTTATCACCTTAGAAAGCATAAAGTGCAAATCGGACCTTTGTATCCTGAATGACAACTGTTCATGCACATGGCTATTATTTGACTCAACAAAAACTTTCTTCGATATATCTTCTGTAAATTTGGGGGGTGTTCTTGTGTTTTATACATTGCAGAGTTCTAAAGCGATCTGTATATTGATTTAAGCAATAACCAAACAGACCAATTGGGTTTGGTATGCACCAGTTATCCTCTAACGTAAAATGACATCTCTAACATGGTGAAAGTGGAAACACATTTAAACAAGCAAACTCAATGAAGTGGTGTGGGTTCAGTGTGCCTGGCATTTAAGCTCTGCGATCTAAAACATTGCCGTTTAGTAGATATGAAATGTCATTACTGCAGGGCTAAACATACATGTCTGAGTTGAGTTCAGATTCGGTTCTGTGAAGCACTGGATTCAAGGCTTGCTGCACACGTGCATCTCGTACCCAATGCTTCTCTGTAAGAAGCATTATAATTGGACAAGCCAGGAAGTGACAATTCCGAGATGTCTTTGCGGGAGGGTAGGAAGAGTGGCAGCATGGATTTAGTGTCTGCTTTGGAAAAATATATATATATATATATATATATATATATACACAAACAAAACAAACTGAACATGCATACATTTAGGGTGGTGCTGGGGCCAAAATATACAAAATACAGAATCCAGCGCACTCGCAGGTGCATCATTCCAGGACCCTATTTAGCCTTGACTTGCAGAGAGTCCCAGTAAGGAAGTATTTCCCAAGCAAGTGGATTAATCTCATAAGAGCAAGCATTAGGCTGCTAGGATAGGACCTGCCGAATATGGGATACTTTGACGGTGTGGCAGGCTTATGCAATATATGATAATATAATGTAACTAAACCCCCATTATTTTTTGCCTAGGTGAGGTGTTTTTAAATAAAACTATTACAATCTCTAAGATTTTAAATCATTGTTTAGTGAATAAGCGAGTGCGCTGGATTCTGTATTTTGTGTGTGTGTGTGTGTGTGTATATATATATATATATATATATATATATATATATATACTGAAATTCCTTGCACTCAGGCTGCAAATAAAAAACATGGCTGGGTGCACTACTAGGGTTCCAACATCCAATCTATATGTAGATTAAAATCAGGATCAACGTTTCAGTCCCACATAAGGGCATTCATCAGGATCATAGATACCATAGATATCTATGATCCTGATGAAAGTACTTATGTGGGACTGAAACGTTGATCCTGATTTTAATTACTATGGAATAAAAGTACATTTTTATTGATAGACCAAGAGTGCAGCCGTCTACACATATATATATATATATATATATATATATATATATATATATATATATATATAAAACCATTCTTAAACAGTTTGATATTAAACTGTGGACTGAGTCTGGAAATTTTAGGCTACCTAACCACTACTTGCTTGCTCTTTAAATCCTTGTTATTGAGTAAACACTATGCTAATAATCTCTAAGATTTTATGATGTCCTTTATGTAATCCTATATGAAGATATATATCTGATCAGTCTATAGCTATTGGTTAGGTTGTATGCTGTCAGGTGATGTGAGAGAACTGTATTATTGTGCATTCAAGAGAACAGGACTTCGAAAAATGAAAGTGTTACTCATACTAAAATTAACAAAATGTATTAAATAAATATACTTTTAAGTATGCTTTAGTGTTTGTTGCTTACCCTTACTAATGTCAAAAAATGCCATTTAGCATTAAATAGAACACTTTATTCCTGGTATTGCATAGAAGGCACAGTGATTATAATCACTGAAAAATAGATGTGCAATTTTATTTGAAATGGAATCACGCTGTGAATTAAATATACCCAAGAATTTCACTGGGAAAAAAGGTGCATTATTGGACGTATCAAAGTAAAATCAAGGTTAAATTGACCTTCCACTGCTCTGAGATGTACTATGAAAATTTTTAGCTGTTACCATAGGTCATCCAGTTCTCATACTGTAATTCTGCAGAATGCAATATTAATCTCCGGCTAGTCTATAGTCTCTGATAATGGCCTTTTTATAATACTGCTACTAAATTGTTGTGTAATGTATGACCTAGACTGAAATTTAAAATATAATTAAGCCCTATGGGAAAATACAAGCCATCTCCACATAGCTAGTGACCTTCAAACTAAGAATCAAATATGCATTGTCTTAGGGTGCCCTCTGGTGGCAATATTTCATAACACATACTGAGATTATATTTGAAAACCTGAATTTACTTGGTTCTTAATTAGAAAATGTCTGTACCTTAAAAATAAAACAAGTATGTGCTTACAGCTACTTACATTTCATTTGCTCCTTGAAGCACAGCCAAGTATGTTGTTATTGAGAAAATGTTAACATCAGGGAGTAGAATTCACTTAGCATTAAAACTTGTTTATTTTCTTTTGATTCTTCAAAAACTATTTTTATTCAACAAAAAACATATTTCACATTAATTTGTTATATAAAGAAATCAACATTTAACAATAGAAACAAGTAGAAATAAGAAGGTGAGGTGAGAAAAATAATTATTAAAAATAGTTTTTTTTTAAAAAGGGAGGGGACGGGCATTATCCAAATCTATAATAATAAAATAGTGGATTTGTTCCAGTCAAAATATAATACAGAGAGTAATATAACCAATTGTATGTCTAAATATATTGCATGTTAATATGTAACAGGGCGTGTGGAATTGTCTATAGGAGAAACTCTTTACTTACATCATTTTCCCAGGAGTCCCAATGAAACTGCAAACTTACTTTTAGAGGTGAGGGTTGCTGCAACGTCAGTTCATACCTTTTTTATCAAGCACTAAAATCTGTGCTTTCTTAATTGATGGTAAAGTAGTAGACTTCCAATAACAAGGTATGATGGACGTGGCCGCAATAAGAATGTGTCCTACCATGATTCTAATTTACTTGATGTCTTAGAGAGATTTTTGAATAAACTCACCTCTGGAGAGAATGTTATAATTGACAGATCTATCTTTTTAATCAGTGAATGTATTCCCTGCCACAATGGCTGCAATTTTGCACAGTGCCCCCATATATGTGAAAAAGTACCAAGTCCTCCACAACACCTCCAGTACCTATCTGAATATTTTGTGTTCATTTTATGAAGTCTGGAAGACAGGACTGCCATCAGAAATGTTGGGGCCCCTGAAACAGCTCAAGGTCTGGGCCCCCCCTCCAAGGCCTGCCCCCAAGTCTGCCCACAGGGCCGCTCCTCAAATCCACCCACAGGGCCACCCCCGAGTCCGCCCACAGGGATACAGTGTGTGTGTGTGTACTGATTGTAGTGGGTGTACAGTGGATGTAGAATGTGTGTAGTGGATACAGAGTGCGTGTGTAAAGTGGATGCAGTGTGTAAAGTGGATGCAGATTTGTACATTTGTGTAATGTATGAGGTGTATATTAGATGCAGTGTGTGTGTGTGTGTGTTGGTGTAGTGGATGTGGTGTGTGTTTGTATAGTGTATGCATTGTGAATACAAAGTGTGTTTGTGTAGTGGATGTAGTGTGTGTATAGTGAATGCAGAGTGTGTGTTTGTGCAGTGGATGTGTGTATTAGATGCAGTGTGTGTATAGTGAATCTAAAGTGTGTTTGTGTAGAGGATGTAGAGTGTGTATATAATGAATGTAGAGTTTGTATAGTGAATGGAGTGTGATTTTGTGTAGTGGATGTTGAGTGTATAGTGAATTCAGTGTGTGTTTGTGTAGGCATGTAATGTGTGTGTAAAATAGGGGAGGGTTGCATTTTAATTTTTTTTAAATTTAAACATTTTATTTTTTAACATTTTATTTGAGTCCCCCCTCCCAGCTTCTCACCTGGCCATCTATCGCATTCCCTTGTGGTCTGGTGGCTTGGTGCTCGAAACCAGCGACTGGACTTGGCAGAGGAGGCCCAGCACACTGGCAGCTCCTCTGTGTCTAACTCTCTCAGCCTGCGTGCCGTGTGGAGCGTTGCCATGGAAGTGGAGTTAGAGGGTGCCGTGCCCCCTCTGCAATGAACAGGTAGCCGGAGACCCGCAGGTACATTTATATTCGCTATATATATATATGGCAATGTGGGGCCCGGGACTTCATAGAAACATAGAATGTGAACCATTTGGCCATCTAGTCTGCCCAATTTTCTAAATATTCTTATTAGGTCTCTGGCTTTATCTTATAGCTAGCCTTATGCCTATCCCACACATGCTTAAACTCCTTCACTGTGTTAACCTTTACCACTTCAGCTGGAAGGCTATTCCATGCATCAGCTACCCTCTCAGTAAAGTAATACTTCCTGATATTATTTTTAAATCTTTGCCACTTTTACACTATGTCCTCTTGTGGTAGTTTTTCTTCTGTTAAATATAGTCTCCTCCTTTACTGTGTTGATTCCCTTTATGTATTCAAATGTTTCTATCATATCCCCCCTGTCTCGTCTTTCCTCCAAGCTATACATGTTAAAGGACCACTATAGTGCCCTGAGGGTGCCCCCACCCTCAGGGCCCCCCTCCCACTGGGCTCTAGGGGGTGGAAGGGGTTAAATTTACCTCTTTCTCCAGCACCGGGCGGGGAACTCTCCTCCTCCTCTCCTCCTCCATATCGTCGTCATCGGCTGAATGCGCATGCGCGGCAGGAGCCGCGCGCGCATTTAGCCAGTCCATAGGAAAGCATTCACAATGCTTTCCTATGGACGCTGGCGTCTTCTCACTGTGAAAATCACAGTGAGAAGCGCGGAAGCGCCTCTAGCGGCTGTCAATGAGACAGCCACTAGAGGCTGGATTAACCCTATTATAAACATAGCAGTTTCTCTGAAACTGCTATGTAAATAGAAAAAAGGGTTAAACCTAGCTGGACTTGGCACCCAGACCACTTCATTAAGCTGAAGTGGTCTGGGTGCCTATAGTGGTCCTTTAAGATCCTTTAACCTTTCCTTCTATGTGTTATCCTGTAACCAATGAACCAATTTAGTAGTCCTTCTCGGAATTCTTTCCAAAGTATCAATATCATTCTGGACATACGGTCTCCAGTACTGCGTACAATACTCCAAGTGAGGTCGCACCAGTGTTCTGTACAATGGAATGAGCACTTCCATCTTTCTACTGCTAATACCTCTTCCTATACAACCAAGCATTCTGCTAGCATTTCCTGCTGCTCTATTACATTGTCTGCCTATCTTTAAGTCCTCAAAAATAATCACCCCTAAATCTTTTTCCTCAGATGTTGAGGTTAGGACTCTATCAAATATTCTGTACTCTGCCCTTGGGGTTTTATGTCCAAGATGCATTATTTTGCACTTATCCACATTAAATGTCAGGTGTCACAACTCTTTTTTTTCTAGTTTACCTAAATCATTTGCCATTTCTCTTATCCCTCCTGGAACATCAACCCTGTTACATATTTTGTATCATCAGCAAAAAGACATACAGTTGCAAGAAAAAGTATGTGAACCCTTTGGAATGATATGGATTTCTGCACAAATTGGTCATAAAATGTGATCTGATCATCATCTAAGTCACAACAATAGACAATCACAGTCTGCTTAAACTAATAACACACAAAGAATGAAATGTTGCCATGTTTTTATTGAACACACCATGTAAACATTCACAGTGCAGGTGGAAAAAGTATGTGAACCCCTAGACTAATGACATTTCCAAGAGCTAATTGGAGTGAGATGTCAGCCAACTGGAGTCCAATCAATGAGATGAGATTGGAGGTGTTGGTTACAGCTGCCCTGCCCTATAAAAAACACACACCAGTTCTGGGTTTGCTTTTCACAAAAAGCATTGCCTGATGTGAATGATACCTCGCACAAAAGAGCTCTCAGAAGACCTACGATTAAGAATTGTTGACTTGCATAAAGCTGGAAAGGGTTATAAAAGTATCTCCAAAAGCCTTGCTGTTCATCAGTCCACGGTATGACAAATGGTCTATAAATGGAGAAAGTTCAGCACTGCTGCTACTCTCCCTAGGAGTGGCCATCCTGTAAAGATGACTGCAAGAGCACAGCGCAGACTGCTCAATGAGGTGAAGAAGAATCCTAGAGTGTCAGCTAAAGACTTACAAAAGTCACTGGCAAATGCTAACATCCCTGTTAGCGAATCTACAATACGTAAAACACTAAACAAGAATGGATTTCATGGGAGGATACCACAGAGGAAGCCACTGCTGTCCAATCAAAACATTGCTGCACGTTTACAGTTTGCACAAGAGCACCTGGATGTTCCACAGCAGTACTG